TGAATTGCTCCACAGAAAGCTGATCTCGGTTGCAATCGTAAAAAGTTGTAATCATAAAAAACACTGGCTATGACACGTGTTGCAAGTGTGTGCTAAATTTATTTCACGTGGACTAAATACAGTCTATTGTAAAACAAATGATCAATCAAAACACCGGAAAAATTAGCTTCTGATTATTTTCAGGGCACCACTTAATATCTGCTATCCCAAGCTGCCAATTTTGAGGAAAATTCGGTCCATTTTGTGGAAGCCGCTATAGTAAATTCTGGGGAAATGAGACGCAAACCCCAAAATTTCCCCGAACGTTGGGGAAGGCTATTTCACTTGGGGGATTTCCCCAAAGTTGACCGCTTGGAGTATTTAAGGTAATGACTTATAATACATGAAAATTTCCAAAAACTATCGATTGCTTAAGTAATCGACAAAGGGGAAATAAGGATGACATTTCGTCAAAAAAAATGAACAGGAGATACCTCAAAATGTCTTCTTTCTCCTGTCATAAGGATATAGTGTGAAATCTTCCCTTTTTGTCGCCTTATGTTTGAACTATCCACGAGTCGACTACTTTTTGCTTAAATACACCCCAAATGCCTTCTATTGTCCTCTTCATGTCTATTATGAAACAGACGTCAAAAGACATGAACTGCTGTCGAGTTGATTAGAAAATTACACATGATTAAAGACATTTATAGGAAATAACACTAGTTTACAAGAAGATTGATAACGAGCAGATGCTCGTTACGATCAAGCCTGTCAAATAAGCACTATCGAATACCGTTTTTATTGCTATGTGCACAAATAATGGTGTTAAGTTGTAAAACAAAACATTAGTGGAAAATGGCTATCCTTAAATTCATGAGTAGATGAAGAGTTTATGATATAGTAATACATACTATATTCTTGGCAGTAAAACTCCTGTCTGTATCAACTTGTCGTTCAAAGGTTATTCAAATAGCTTTTTACTGAAACAAAGGCTTGAATCAGTTGTTAACAGGCTGCATTACGCGGCAAAGGTCTTTATGAAGGAAAAACATGGTCCATGCTTCACCAAAAAACTAAAAGGCATGAAAACAATTGCGTCACATGCCACTGTGTTTATCAATTTAAATGTTTGTGTGGTCACATACATAAGGAGGAGTAATCGTGATTTCAAAATTAGGGTGTGAACATGTACCTAAATATTTTTCAGAAACAAGTAAAATGAAGTAACCCAGCGAGAATACAGGATTAACACCTATCATCCTCTGTTGCCAAACACGATTGAAACAGGCCATAAGATTGATCTTAACTCGATTTTTGTGTTGTAGAAAAGTGTAAATAGGTGTTTACTGAAAAAAATTTTCTCTTGGCCAGGACATTGCATGCATTTTTGCAAACTTCCAAACAAAATAACAATTACCAGTAGAAATAAGTGAGAACAATGATTGAAGTGGTAAAGGATCTGTTTAATTACCTATGATACCACATGTATATTGGGGGTTTATAAAACAGCCTCACAATCAAGTAACCCAAAATCCTCTTACCCAACATGAGTAAGTGGTCAATGTTGTGTTTTAAATCAATGATCTATGATACGGTTACCATTTTACGAAAATTTGAAGGTTTTATTTTATTTCAGTTGAATAATTATTTACGTTTATGTTCATTTTTACAAAAGCTTTGTAAGACTGGAATTTTCCCGGGTCTGGTTTTTTTCCCAAAACCACTTAAAAGAAACCCAGAATTTGTAGCATGGAAAGTATAACATCATAATTTAGAACCAAAGTTTATTTTATGTAGGGTTTAATAGGTTTGCTTCAAAATGCAAAAAGTCTTTGGTTTCTATTTCGGATTCAAAGGCTTTCTCTGATTGTATGTATTAGTCTCATTCCTTTTATTTGTGTGGCTTCGTTCATAGAGTTTATCGGGTTTTTAAAAAGATTTTAACTTACAAATAACCATTTAATAAACCGATTAACGTGACAAGCGTATTTATAGAAATCTCAGAGAAAACTGGAAGGGATTCTTTTTCAAAACACACCGCTTGTTGCATAGTCTATAGCATGGATTTAAAAACGGTTTGTCATTCTCCGTAAACCTTCCATTCGCAAGACAAAGTGGGGTGCAGTCCTTAGGAAATTGAAAATCGGTAGATTTAATTTTAATCGACTTCGACAAAGCTTTTTACAAGGTTCCACATACTAGGTTTCTATTAAAGATGGGAAGTATAAGAATCTCCAAATACCCTTTCAGTTATAAATAAATAAATAGTGTATTTGTAATATCCCAATGAGTAGGAAAATTAGATTTTCTGACGTTTCGTGACTTAGTGTAAGTCGCTTTTTCAGAGAATAAATAATCAAATTAAAATTAATTCAAGTTTAAATGGTACAACGGAACAATAAGAATAATATGTATATATTACACTTACACTAATTCACGAAATGTCAGAAAATCAAATTTTTTTACTCATTGGGATATTACAAATATATTATTATTTATTTATAACAATCTACCCAATGCTCAGTTTATTCGAAATTATAAAATCAAACCTTGATAATGGTACCTACCCTTTCAGTTAGACTAGAGGTTTTATAACTTCCCGATAGGACGTAAATTTGACTATGAACTCTTCTCTTGAAAGTGAGATACCTCAAAGCTCAGTACTAGGTCGACTGTTTTTGCTCCATTATACTAAAAAACTTCCAAGTATCAGCGAACATCCGATGTTATATTACACTGGTGACAAAAAAAATACATAGGAGTAGCAGATAATGAAATTGTAAGTGGACTTCAAACTGACGTGATGTCGTGATAAGATGGTAAAAAACATGGCTAGTGTTCATCAGTCCAGACATGTTTCCACCCTCAATAGACGCCCAAAATGCACCAATTAGAAAACTGAGGAAATATCCCCCTCTTAGTCCTAACTCACATTGATCAATCAGTCAATAAATTATGACATGAAAACCATAGTTCACTTCCACTCTATCGCATCCAAAGGTTGCAGAACAGTATAGATGTTAAGTCAATCTTTCACAAATTTGAATAAAACGTATATACATCACACTTCTAATAGCCTTAGTGAGGTTCAAAACGGAAAAATGTGTACAAATTGAGTCCCTATTCAAAAGACGACTCTGAGTTTCTCAAAGTAACAAAGAACATCTAGGTAGCCTTATGTGGCTTAAGAAGTTAGACCTTTTAGAATCATATTACCACAGATGAAAAGGTGACAGTCATTACGTTACATAATCGGTTTTCGTGCAGAGCAGGTTCCACCATTTCCAAATTTTTTTTATTCCGAGGCAGAAACTGCAGACCTAGCATACTTGAAGATAAAATAATAAACAGTTTTGTCATCCGATGAACAATCCCCCAAATGCCCTCTCGAAATGCTCACACGGTCACGCGTATACAGCCTCTGCTAGGGAAGTCCTACTCACTGCCTTCTCGTGACAGGGGTGTTGTTTACGAAATCGAGAGGACGAAAAGCGAATGTCCGGCGCTTTAACCAGATTCCAAACCAATGGTGCACATGGGCCCCAGTATTCTGCGGGAACGAATGGCGTATGAACCAATCTTGGTCACTGGCTACCATGGGACTGCATCTCCTCACGATGCTCCACTGCCTTGTGGGTTAGACCTTTAGGTCAAAGGCCCGGGGTGTGGCCTCCTAAGAAAACCACCTGCTTCGGTTTGGGCACCCGGGCAGTATTACAGCCCTCACACAAATCGAGTGATTTATGTGGCGTATATCTATTTGGTGCCTCTTTGTACCAATGTTTATGTGTTTCAATAAGTAAATAAACATGCACCTCAGGCAGATAGAGGGCATAAAACCACCTCTCTCCACTGTTCCACTCAAGCAGAGGAGTTAGACAGGTTTGCTCAATTTCACCATTCCTCTTCGACTTTACCATCGATGACATTCCGGAAATAGCCCTGATGAATGTAAGTAACGGCAGTGTGGATTTATTGCCTGGAGCAATACTTCTCGACCTTGAGTATGCGGATGATATTGTCTTACTGTGCGATAATGCCCAAGCCATGCAATCCGCACTTAATCAGTTGGCAACCAGTGTCCGTAGGTATGGTATGTGCTTTGCACCTTCGAAGTGTAAAGTACTTCTACAAGACTGGCAGGATTCTAATCCTGCACTCACTCTGGACGGTGAGCAGATAGGAGTAGTCGAGAGGCTCGTGTATCTAGGTAGCTGCATAAGTGCTGGTGGTGGCGTGAGTGATGAGATCAATGCACTTATAGTGAAAGCCAGAGCGGCTTATGCCAATCTGGGCCATCTTTGGCGCCTTCTTGATGTTAGTCTGGCTGTAAAAGGTCGGATCTACAACGCGTCGGTGAGAGCAGTTTTGTTCTATGCTTGTGAAACCTGGTCTCTCCGAGTTGAGGACGTTAGACGACTCTCTGTGTTCGATCATCGTTGTCTCCGAAGGATTGCTGACATCTAGTGGTAACACCATGTTGGTAATGCAGAGGTTCGGCATTGTGTGTTCGGGCACAGAGACGATAATGCAATTGGTGTCACCATCTGGAAACACCAACTTCGGTGGCTTGGACATGTTTTACGAATGTCGTTCCAGAGAATTCCACGTCGTGCATTATTTGCCGACTCTGGGACTGGTTGGGGAAAGCGGAGAGGTGGTCAATGTATGACATAGTATCGGGATATGAAAGAAAGCTGCAAAGGGCTGGCTTCTGTTGGTCCTTCACAACTCCCTGGCTGGGGTACAAGAGATGGTGTAACACATTGGCTAGAGACGTTATCAGATATGGCTCAGAATAGAAGTCAGTGGCGATCGTGCTGTTACCTTCTACTTCCCTCATAAAGAGTGGTTGTATCTTCCTCAACTGAAAGATCTCTTCTGACTATACGTTTCTGTTTCCCCCATTATTATTATTATTACACTACCTTACACTAATCTGTTCGTTATTATTCTATTTTTTAACACTCCTTACATTTTCTTTTTTTGCCTTCTCTTCAAATTCTCATTGTTTTGTGTGGCGCATATATATTTGGTGCCCTCTTGTACCAATATTTATGTGTTCAAATATATAAATAATGATTACGTTCGAAAGTGACTTTAATGTGAAATTGATAATGAAATATCCATCACTAATTACGTATAATCAATTCCCAATCAACTGCACTCTAATGAAAATATCGGTGGAGGTAAATAGTACAAATAAAGAACTTACTTTCTGCTACTTGAAATTTCAACTCTTCATCCAAGTTGTTAAGAAACTAAATTATCAGCTTCTTTAACAGTTGAATTGTGATATAGGGTTAATTGAAACCTAATAAAAAATTCTAAGTGGTAGACAGACCTTCAACACTTCAAATGTAACCATTTTTGTTTACAAGTCCATCTATGATGAACTTACACTCAACTTGGCTTTCATTTAGTAAGTACGGGATGAAAGCTACGATAGTTATACATTCAAGGGTACTTTCAGACAAATAAATTTTACCGAACAACTAATCCAAATTGAGATGAAACAGTAACCTGTTCTGATATAGACCATAAGATTAGAAAGTAAACAAACCAATGAAAAATTGACCTCAAAGTAGTTGATTTTACTCAATCTTATCAGTAAGTGGCATCATATAGCTAATATGCGTAGGTGGAGAAACATTTAACGTCAAGATTTTGAATGTTTGATATACATAACTTGTTATTGACTTGATGACGTTTCATTGTTCGAAACCTTGGAAACTAAATAAGAAACTTCCTTGATCACGTTAAATGTCTTTTCAGATTTCCGACTAATCTGTTTAGGCTGATGGATGAATTATCTACGTTAAACCTAACGGGAAAAATTATCAGATTTTACAACTGTTATCTAGTTAGAGAAGAGCACTTGGTAAAAGATGATTTGTGGATTCGAGATGGGATCATTCTTGACGGACTAACTATATTCTTTTCTGAAAAGGCAATGCCAGATATTCTCATCGATGTTGGCGGAGGTATTATTTCTCCCGGTCTTATAGATGTACAAGTTAATGGTGCTTATGGGTATGATTTCTCAAATCCAGATCAGGACATAGAAAATGCTTGTAATCAGGTTGCGGAGAGACTCCCACAAACAGGAGTCACAGCTTTTTGTCCAACAATCATTACGTCCTGTCAAGAATTGTATCCAAAACTTATATCAGGATATCAGAAATATGTAAACAAACCCAACTGTTCAAAAGTGCTTGGGATTCATCTTGAGGGTCCATTTATTAGCACAGATTGCGCTGGAATGCACCAAACAGACTACATAAAGGGATTCGGTACTAATCCTATAAAGGTAATTTTCAGCCTTCTCAGTCTTACAGTGTCAGACCATTTCAGAGATTTACGGTCCCAATCTTGATAGAGTTAAGATGATTACGATTGCGCCAGAATTAGAAGGTGCTTCAACAGCTGCAGCATACTTATCTTCACTAGGTATCGTAGTGTCTATTGGTCATACCAACTCTGACTACGAGTCAGCAGAATCTGTTTTATCCTCAGGAGCAACTTTCGTTACTCATCTATTCAACGCTATGCCATCTTTCCATCATCGTAAAGCCCATATCTTCGGTTTATTTGCTGGCACTAAGACACCGCTCCATATTGGGCTAATTGCTGACTTGGTGCATTCACACCCAGCTGCTCTACGTTTAGCAGACGCAATTTCACCTGGTCATGTGACCCTTGTCACTGATTGTAACACCGCATTCGGCCTTCCAGATGGCTCGTATACATTCGGTGAACAAAATATCCAAGTAGAAGCTGGCAAGTATGTGTTTAGCAGTTTGTACTTAACATTTGCATTATTTCTGACAGTCAAATGTTTTTTGTTGTTGCTTTTTTATGTCATTTAAAAAGATCACTGGCGACTAATATTTACATCGTAAACATTGTAGTACAGAATTTGAAGCAATGTTATTTGAGATCCCTCAGTCTAGTTCAAGTTGTCATTTTCACGGAGATTTATCAGGATTTTATTATCTTAAACTCAGTGTAATTGTATTTAATATATCTATACAAAAGATTCATGCTGCTTACCAGAGTCAATGAGATTAGTCTGGTTAAATTGATGGCGTTAGATTATATTCGAAATTCTCTGCGTAGTATGCTTTCTTAGCATGACAGATATCAACTAAAAGTGCAGTCAGATATATCGAATGTACCTAAATGGCATAGAGAAATGTTGAAAAGTGATGAAGGAGTGTGATCGTGGATAAGATGATTTCGAGTGCTTTTAGAGGTTTTCAATTATTGTATGCTTCTTTAGGGACCTAAAAAGGGAACTTGGTTAGTAATGGTCTTGGTAACCTAAGCGCATAACTGCAGAGCTCAAGGGACAACTTGCTTAAGGTTAGTCATGTTCAGCCGCTTTGCAGGTAGTTCTCGGTGTGCAAGCTCATAAATGCTTATTGCAAACGACGGAAATCTGTGAGAAAAAAGGTGTATCAATTTTAGGACCGACTTTTCCTGACCATCGTTCCATTGTATCACGGTAACATCGTTGTACGTGCTTTTTATCTGAAGGAAACACTCCTATAGTCGCACTCCAGTACAGATGTACAGCTTCGCTCTCGGATGTCAACTTTTTGCTTTTATGCTTACCGTTTTTCAACTGATCTGCCTGATATGGTGAGAGTTAAAGGGAAAAGTATCACGACTAGTGTGACTCAGCTGATTCATCACGGTAGGTAAGCCGAACACCGCGTTATGTTAACAGTTACGGTTTTAACCAGCGATTGGAAATGTAGCTCTGAATCAACCGTAATGGTCTAGACGCATTAACTCTCTTTTAGGAATTTGGGTTTCGAAGTTATCTTATATTTTAGTCCCACGAATACATTCTTCCCTTATCATATTGTTTATACATAGCCCTTCCTGCTGCTACTCATGCTGTTGCTAATTTTACGACTGAGATTTTTCTTGATAAATACATCTAGATGTGCTAATATGACGTGGTAATTTGAACCGATGTAATAATATGCCAGCTATTAAGTTTCTTATGACTGACTCATATAGCACGTTTATAGAGACTTTGACTACTAGCCTGAGCTGCATGGAGAAATCTAGATTTCCCGATTTCGATCCACATATTGATTGTGATTTCCGGTTGGGCACCTTACATGAGATGGCTCAAAATGAGTTGCAGAAGCGCAGATACATTCAATATTTGCTTTCCCTTAGATTTATCTTCATTCTGGATATTGTCTTCCCAGTTTCTAATTGTTTGTTCTTGCTTTCGTTGATTCCAAAATGATGTTAATCCGAAAATTAACCCCTCAAGGCTGTACATTTACTGCACGATTTTGAAGGTTAGTGGGGAACTATCCCTTACATAATTCTCACGTTTTTTCTGGTCATATGTATATGCTGGCCTTTGATAGTTATTTTATTTTTTCGGTATCAATCTTAGGGCATACATTGCTGGTACAAACTGTCTGGCTGGAGGTACTACGCCATTGTTAACATGTGTCAGAAACTTCTGGCTAGAAGTCACTCGTGAGAAACTCAACGCCGAACCCAATGTTCCTAAGGAGTGGGCTGGACTTGGATACGCACTAGCAGCGGCTAGCACAAGGCCAGCAAGTGTTCTTTGCCTTCTATCTTCAAATGCATCAAACTCAATACATAAATCGAGTTCGGAATCCGTTTTGCCCTTGGGAACACTAAACTCTGGCTCTTCTGCAGACTTTATAATTATACACCCAGTATTAACTGAAACAAGTCCAAAGCCTCAAATTAAACTGTTATGCACTTGGATAAATGGAAAACCTGTCTACTTCTGCTCAGATCATCATGTTTATTTCAATATAAGATCCTCGACGTAGTACTTTCTAATATAGTTTATTGTATTTTCTTCCCAAGTGATTGTTTACTATACCATTTGATCTTGACTATTCGAAAATACTTTTACAAAATATAAAATAGTTTTTAAATATCAGATTGTTCTCTAAATTTATTGACAGGAAAAATATGGGTACACTCAGAAAAAGAGGCAACTGTCATTCTGATCTATCTTATAACAAGATGAATTAATCATTTACAATATGGGTCTAACTGGAACACTTCGTATATATCACTAGTAAGGCCGTCTGCAGATAATTTGTGAACAAAATGTCCTAATTAGACCAATACTATCAATTACTGATTCATACTAAGATTCAACGCTGGTTCCATATACCTTGAAAGATTAGTTGTGATCCAATCGCTTGGAATATTACTTCACAGTATGACACCGTCAACTAAGTACTCACAATTTAACATTATATCATAGGTGAAATCTACACTCCATGATTAACCGTTATCTTCACATTTTTTCCAGAATGTCATCGACAGCGGAGCTATTGATTATATCTAATTCCATTACTGATTCAAATTAATGAATAGAAGTGACAGTATGTTCTGACTCAACATGAACTGCCATTACATTAGGCTGTAAATAGATCGGATATTTTGAAGATTGTCGACCTGTAATGGATCCTAGCTTACTCATACGTATAGTCTTTCGGTACAATTATCGTCTAAACGTATTCAAAATCAATGACCGCTCATGTGAATCATGACTTAGTGTCCTAACAAAAGCAATTAACGGAACCAAGCACAGCTAGCTGGGTCCCACCAGCGTATACATTCAACTTAATATTTTACTGCTATTCCTAAAAAATGAAAACCTACAAAAATTAGCCTCTGCGTTCCCAAGTGCGTCTGAGACAAATCGTACTAACTAGTTAATACTAAAGGTTAAAATAACTTGGTAATCACAACTTAATTATACGTGTGTCAGTGTTATGCCGCGATAGCTAGCTTACTGGTCTTTGTTCTCGTTCGTAGATTAAGTGAAATCGTGATAGCTTCAAAACTAGCAATAGACAGACAGATGTGCGTTGGCCCAGGTTGCCATACCTGTGTGCTGAACGAAGACTCAGGTAGGGACAACCAATTTATTATTCAATTCAAAATTACAGTTTTTCATAAAATGTGATAAACGATACATAAATACTTCATCTGCAAATCTTTCATCAATCGTCTCAAAGTCCATCGTCCATTCATTGTTATTACAATTACTGTCTGTTTATATTCCCGTCCCCCTCAATTCAATCTCAACCTTCTGCTCCCACGTATTCCACTTCTGATTCGTGTTACATACTACTTATGTCTGCCAACGTAAGTAGAGTAGACCACACCTGATCAGCACGAGATGAAAATACCTAAACAAATCGCGAAATAGTGTGGTAGCAATGATATAATGAAGGACTAGGCCTTACGAATATGATTTAACAATACAGTGGAAAGGCATGTACGAAAGGATACTGGGATTCAATATCGAGTGAATGCATCCGAGCCACCGCAAATGATTCTGAGCCGTATCCTTCAGAGCTCTCAACCACTGATTAAGGTTACTACATGGACCCCAACCCGTACCTACTTATATGGCCCAGACTAGCGACCAATGACTTCACAGACGAATGCTAAGTTTTCGTTTGGCCCCCAACCTAATTCTGCACTAGTGAGCACTGCTTGTCGAGGTAAGTAGTACTTGGGAATGCGTAACACATTCTGTAACAGCTGATGAAGATTTACTGTCTAGTCAACCGAGTTGCCTGGTAATCTCTGGCTAACCTAAACATTCTGAACTCGGTTACTCGACGAAATGCGAGCAATGCCTCGAAGACATCTTTAATTAAAAAGCTTCAGCTTACGGATGTCTTCTAATTTCGCAGACATAAAATGGAACAGAAACGACTGGTGAAGTGTATTTGCACTTTAGTTAAAAAAGGACGACTTGCCTATCCCACAAGCGACGCAAGTTGGCAAACGCCAACTGAGTTTTTCGAGTCCGATCAGACTTTTAATGTAAGTGATCAACACACTCAATCCTGACCATCAGTTCAGGTTTTGACGCGGACCAGTGATATAGTGAGCAAACAGAACTAGCCAAGTAAGGTCACTTGAGGGCAACTGCAAATGACCTATAGGACAACTGCATGTCATTGGATAAGTAATAGATTCATTTTCTAGGGAATAGGAATATATATGTCGTTCGGCAGCCCAACAAACCCTGTTCTACTCTTGAGTTCTCTCCCAAGTAGTCAGTTTGAAGGGTTAATAAGTAACACGTTGTATATCAGTGTCAGATCTCGAACACCGCTCATCATAACAACTAGTGTTGAAACGGAATTGTTAATAGTATACCTGCTCAGAGCGATTTACAAACTGTCAAATGTTGCTTTCAAGTTGAGAACAACTATCATTGTTGGACGCCGATAAGCATGCCCGTGTTCTAGAACCTGAAGAATGGTATATGTTCGATACAGCCACGACCAGGTCTAAAGCTAACCTGATTTTCTCGTGTTTGCAGTTCATGAGTCTTAGTTAAGCACCCGATAATTATTGAAGCTAGTATTTTAGATGCTATTTTAGTCAAACAAATTCCTCTATGGTTATCACAGGATGATTTTAACTCCTTTTTATACATTGGGACAATCAGTGATTGTGATCAGGCAGCCCGACCGAAGCTGCTACCTTGACGCGATGGTCGGGCTTGCCTATCGTGACGACCCAACCCAGCTCTATTTGGCTGGAACATATGTTCCTGTAGGTTCTCCCGTGCCAGGCAGGTCGATTGGAGAACGGTAAGACCAAAAGCAGCAACTCAAGGTCTGAGGGCGAAGTCGTACTGTAGAGGGGTGTGACAACCGTAAGGTGTTCCCCTCGGACAACCAGCATGACAGCGATGCTGCCTTCTCACAAGTAAGGAAGGGGTTAGAATAGGTCGACCCTAAAAATGTCACCTCACCTTACCTCACGGATTTCTGTCTCCGGCGGTAAGGCCCTTTCAAGAATGGAGTAACACATTAAAAACCTCCCACGAAAAGGCTGTGCGCAACCGGCCTCAGGCAGTTGTCCATTGGGCTCTGCGGTCACGCTCCCAGGTCGTTAAGACCAACACTAATCCGACTTCTTTTTCAGGTTCCTCAAGAAATACCCTTCCACGGTATGGGCAGCCGGGAAATGATATCAGCCCTCATACCCGTAACAGCGCACGAGACCAAGTTGGTCACATTCAAATCCCTCCTACAACTCCTAATACCTCTCTTATCTCCATGATTAACCCTCCTCACGTCTCTTTATCACCTCGCACAGCTAGGGCAAACGATTCGAGTACGCGGAACGTTATTCCTGGTCTCCTGAAACCACACTCTAAACTACACGTAGGAGCTTTTAACGTCCGAACACTGTGCCAAATAGGACAGCAGGATTCCTTAGCTAGGACTTTACAATCCCGAGCCATCGATGTGTGCTGCGTCTCCGAAACGCGCACACAGGATCCGAATAGCGTCATTCATTTGATCTCACCATGCCAAAATAAAAAACCGACTCGATTCACACTTCGTGTATCTGGAAGCCCAGATTCTGCTTCCCGTGGCCTCGCCGGCGTAGGTATAGCATTGGGTCCTAGGGCAGAACTAGTTCTCTTAGACTGGATCCCAGTAGACAGTCGTTTGTGCGCTATCCGACTGAGCGGAACAGTAAGGATCCGAAAAGATAGGGATACTCGTCGTTGCCTCTTCGTCGTCTCTGCCTATTCTCCCACTGACTGCAGCTCAGATGATGTAAAAGATGAGTTTTACAGAAAACTTTCCGACCTTCAGGAAAAGCTAGGCGCTCTGATGTAGTAATAGTAGCCGGTGACTTTAATGCTCAAGTAGGCAAACTAAACGAAACGGAAAGACACCGAGGTGGATTTTATGGTGTCGTGGCTCAAAGAACAGATAATGGCGACCGTCTGTTGCAGCTATGCTCAGATAACCGCCTGTTCCTTGCAAATACTGACTTTAAGCATAAGGAAAAACATCTTTTAACATGGAGACCACCTAATTCGTCCCAACGTTGGACCCAAATAGACCACATCGCTATCAGCCACCGATGGAGGGGCTCGATAGAAGACTGTCGCTCATTCTGGAGCACATGCTTAGATTCAGATCATGCTCTAGTACAAGCGCGTATTTGCTTGCGTCTTACTGGACGTAGGAAAGACGCTGCAAGTAAACCTCTTAGGGCCCTACTTAATGATAGTCAAGCTAAGAGTATATTTCAGGAACAACTAGGAAAACAGTTAGGCAGCCATGTATGTGATGCCCACCCCGATGCAGCATGGAATGATATCCGAAAAGCTGTGGAAACAGCAGTGATATTTGCTAGTACGGTAACCCGTAAGGTTAGGGAGCGACACTGGATTTCAGCAGCATCTACCGCACTGATAGATGCTCGAGAACTCATTCCATTTGGCTCTGAACATAATGAAGAGCGGAGTCAGCTTAAGCGCAAGTTGACAAGAACACAAAGAGTGGATGCATCTGCGCCATCGCAAACGATTTTGAGCAATGTCATTCAGGGTCTCTAACCATTGGTTGCTATCATCTCGCGGTCCCCAACCAGGTAGTCTACACCTACCAACATGACTCAGTCCACTTGTCAGTGACTTCATGGACTTGTGCCATGTTTTGGTCTGGCCGCCCCTAGCTTTCTTCCAACCTACTCCTATACCACTGAGCATCGCACGTCGAGGCAGTCGGTGGTTGGGCATACGTAACACGTGTCTCATCCATCTCAACTGATGAAGTTTCACTACTTCATCAGTTGATTTGCCATTCTTACCTAGTACCCGTTTCCTAACAATTGCGTTACTTACTCGATAGTCCCAGGATATACGAGCACTATGACCGATCATTTAAAAACAGTTTTGTAGGTAATCTGAACGGACAGACACGCTATAGTTCCCTTACTTCATTTGGTTTACACTTATTAACTCACTTAATGATAGATATACTTCTCTCACTTGACTGCTGGTATTTGATGCATAGAATCTGTAGCAAAATATTATCTCGACATGATCATTAATCAACAATATTTAATTACGCCTAAAGAGCTATATCTAAGTACAAAAATATACTATGGAATATTAATAGTTTTAGGTGAACTATTTACTTTATCTTGACTAATCCAAATATACAGCCTACTTGCCGTAATGAAGATAATCAGAAGTTTCAGAAGATGTTACGCAGAGGACTGCGAATTTGCACTTGGACGTTCTATACTGCTTTTATGTAAAAGGAGCTAGAAATTTTTTCGTATCTCAGCAAAATCGAGAGTTGGTAAGGTTTAAGAAAAACTTTGAAATTTAAACAATTAAATCCCGTGAAAAATACTCTGCAAATACATATTACCCAACAAGTGCGGTAATCATTGAGTGAATACTCTCAAAATGTGGTCTGCCCAGAACATGTCGCCGCTACTTTACTAGACGTGAAGGGAAACTATTGCCATGTACTGTACTTCGATTGACTGCGGTCTGTGTCCTAATGATAAAAGTTCATCATATATAAATCTCTTATTAACCTATGCCTATTTATATCAAGTTCATCACACTAGATTAACTTCTGAATAGACTGTAACCGTTATTATATGAAGTAAATACATGAAGGAAAACAGAACGAAACATTTAATGAATATTTACTACTGGATTATATTATCTCGTAATAGTTGGAGTTGCCAACAAAATTAGACCGCTGCAGCACCAGATATAATTTCAGTGAGCTCACGTGTGATTGCTGCCTGACGTGTTCGATTATAACTGAGTGTCAGTTTACTCAACATATCACCTTCAAATAATGCACGATGAAATAAGGTACATACCTGCGTTTTTCGTAGCCGAGTCCATAGCAGTCATCCGAGCTGACTGTTCGCTAGCAGCTGCCTCTTTTAAAGCAGCAAAAATTAGTGAGGTCAGGAGAAATTCATTGTAACTTTGCAAGACTTCATCATCTACTGAGTCATAAATACCAATGTTTTCAGAGGAGGACAATTTATTTAGGCTTAAGAGCGGCTGACTTGTCGTTATGTAAGATACTACTGTCCTACAAAATGTCAAACTGAAATAATAATTACTTGAATGTATTGTAAAACATCACAGCCTTATCAAATTTAAAGTCAGATGATATTATCGCCTGAGCTATTGTGGACGCATCCTCGAAAGTAGGTGCCTTTTTGCCGACTTCATTGACAGTCATCAAAAACATGTTACGATATTGACGAATCATCATTGCGCGAGATTTGTCGCCAACCAAGAGTAACTTGCATGAATTTTCTAGATTTGGGTTGCTACGAAGCTGGGCTCTGATTGCCTACAAGTATTAAGATAATTTATCCCATCTTACCTTTACAATACTACTATTAGCTGCACCACATAGACCTCTATCGGATGTGATTGCGATTAGTAAGTCATTCTCACTAGGTTTGGTCTCCTTTGGCACTAATTCTGCGGTCTGATAAAATGCTGTGGCAGTCAAGATATACTTTAAAAGTACCTCGAGCACCATAGCCATAAGGTCTGGCTGGACGTAGATCACGTTCAGCTCTAGCAAATTTTGATGCCGAAACCATTTTCATAGATGCAGTGATTTTCTGTATGTTTTTCACAGACCGTAGTCTTACTGCAATATCTTTCAAAGTGGCCATAGAACGGGACTTTTGTCCAAGAAATGGGGAAACGCACATTACTTTGAGAGAACCTAGCATTTTAAACGTACTCCCCAGATCAAATACCGCGCTTCCTGCCTGATCGGTAGTTTTACCTAATCTTTGGTATTAAATATCTTCTTATTTAACAACAAATAAGTGTGTGCACCATTTTATAACAGCTGTTCCTGGTATCCCAAGCAAACAGACTTTTCTGTAGTACATAGATTGAAGAATTGAATGCTCAATAATCGTGCATTTTTTAAACGATATCTTGGTAATCTTATATCCTTTGCTAGTTAATTTGATGATGCCTCACTGGCTGTTCCGGTTAAAGGGACGCGTTTGACTTCTATAAAACTGCCTATACCATCAAAAAAGTCCAACAATATTCCTCCCAATTTTAGGTAAGAAATTACTTGGTTGCAACCAAGACAATTCAGCGGATATTTAGGCGAAAATGCGACAATTCAGCGGATATTTAGGCGATAAGTCGGTAATTTGTCGACAAAAAGGCGAAAAAGGGGAAAATCCGCATTATTTCCCCCGGACAGGCGAAAAAGGCGACATTCTGGCGCGTTTTTCCCTTTATTTCCCCTTTCGCCACCAAAGCATTTACCCCTTTATTTGCCCTTTCTTCGCCTTTGTTTCCCCTTTTTGGGTTGCTTGGGTGTTGATTAACACAAAGTGACTTCACCGATGATGCAACTATGAAATACCATGTGTCAGAGATTGGACATATACAAAATATCACTCTCCAAGGGTAACTTTCCTCTTTATTTACCTTCCCAGTCCCTTCATGATAATAATTTAAGTTACCATAAGATGTATGTGGTAGAGCATACAATCCCAAACTCGAAAACTGTTGAACAGCAAGTTTTTTTCTAAGTTCGGAATCAACATTTTTATATTTTCATCGATCTGATTAACAAGGAACGTGAATAATCTCCAAATTAGTTGTTATGTCGTTATACAATTTCACATTGTTTTCCTGTGATATCAGATTTCAAATAATTTATTGTGTTTGGATTAAGTTGTAAATCCAGGTTACCTCGTGATATTTGGTGCTTTCAATTTTCAAGACCATTCGATGCAGTTTTACACAATATCCTACTTTATTCTTTTTTTTCGACTACAAAATATCTGCATCTTGTCTCAAGATTTTCTTACTTTTCGCAACTAATAGGTTCTAAGGTTTGTTTCCCTATGCTGTATCAACCAATAATTAACGTTCCATTTTCTTTTGTCAAGGACTACAACAAGTCGGTCACTCTCAAACATTTCGAAATGCCTCATTCACTGAATGTGTCTTATGATTGCAGGACAATCCTTGAATGTATTTTCGTAAAATTGAGTGTTGTTAGTGTTGAAATTTTCATGTTTTTAGATGGCATTGAAGATGCCACAAATATTCGGAGTTTGACAACGCTTTATTCAGTAACACCTTCTAATATAAATCGTACCCACCAAGTGAAATAAAAAGACAGAAGCGAGGAGGTCCGAAAATCCATTTGATAGGATATCAGTATATCGAGGATCGTCTGATCTAATCTCGCTAGCGATTGCAGAGGTTGTTGAACACGGCGTTCTCACTCGTAATCTGGTGTGAATGCATGACCGAGCGCCTTTAGCTAGGTGAGTCCATTAAAACGAATGTGGTCAGCATCCAATGTTGAAAACCCACAGAACTTTTTATTTTGGGGATTTATTTACCGCTACAGATCACGTCGGGCTCACCAGTGTAGGTCACCAACGTAGATGATCTATGTCGAATGATCGGAAGCATACACGAGTTAATTGGGAATGGCGTTACGAACCAGCTAACGTTGAAGTCATACATCGTGGTCGGCACTTTACGTAGAATACCCCATTGATGTATCAACGAACCATAGACGCTTTGAAGACTGTATAACACAGAGGACGTTATTACAGAAATATATTAGTTAATGTTGATACAAGCTAAAGTAAGAACACTGCCTCATGGCCCAGTCCATGGAGTACGATTAACTGATGCGCGTTCGTTGTTCTTGACCTTGATTAGGATCGATTAATTGTTTGATAATCAATGACCCAACTGCCGAATGATTTGGTTAAGGCTTAGTGACATTTCGCTGACCCTACAGGATTACTGTTGTACGCTGCACAGATGGCGTAAACTGAACGGGTTTCTTAAAATTCAGCTAATGTTTCCTACTATACTGACTTTTCTATCTCAAGATATCTTATCAATTTTACGCCTTAGAGGTAAGTGCTATTTTCATAGGAAGCACAGTTCACTGTTATGTAGAATAAGAATGCGCACATGGTCATCCTGTCGAAAAAGAGAGGGAAAGCCGACTCTCCCCAGCCTGGGCCGAACCAAGGTAATTGGGGGCTACCATTTGACCGCATTAACTGAGGATGCTTCACTGCTTTGTAGTTCGGATTGAGTGTACGATAAAGATCTTGATAGTCATGTGAAAGTACTTTGATATTGGAAGGTGTGAAGAATTATGATCTACCATGGTGTTAGTACTGATCTAATAATAGACTTAATCCTATCATTGTAGATTTGGGTTGAGAAATCTATATTCTACCAAACTATAATATTGAATAAAGCTATTAATAATAATAATATAACTGCCTAATCTATAAGTTCTTACGTGGAAGTCACATCCTCGTCTACACCAACTCATTGAGTCGTAATAATCACCAATATATGACGTAGAGCAAGCTTAGGCTAGTGATAGAACAATATATTTATTATAAATAAAGGATATAAGATAACATTCAACAGGACCACACCTGCAAAGTCGAGCAATTTCATCCTATCATTTTGAAATCATCCAATTCATTCTTCCTGCTTTCTCCATCGTTAGATATTTCTCCGCGTTAAATATGGAATATCTATTTTCCGAGTAGTCTCGTGTTCAGCTTTGAGGATTGTGTGGTTATGGTCCGATGCCTCTACAGGTGTAAAGGCCATGGCATAACTGCTTTCATATTTATGAGCCTCAAAGACAACCCTGACCTTCCTCTCAGTTTGCAGGACAAAAGTGACAGGATGCTTTGAAAAAAGTTAAACAAGAAGCTTGAACTTTCCAGAAGAGAGCCTTTGAGGGCCACGCAGATCACTCAAGGAAAAGACTCCAAGCATCGAAATCACTCAAGGCTACTTCGTGTAACACTTAAGAATCCAAACGACGTAGAGGGTATCCTACTATCTAACGACCTACTGAAATCAGATGGGAATGTAAAAATACTGCACGACATACCGTATTCTGAACGCAATCTAAAGCGGAACATCTGAAAGAAATCTCGCGAGACGTTTTTCCGGGGAAGGAATATCATTGTTCAAGGTGTATCGGGAAACACGGACCCTGACCACACAATCTCTGATATTAGGGAATGAAAATTCATCAAGCAATCCTCGAAGCTCAAAAATATATTGACTCAACAAGTAATGAGACTAGCCCAGAAGGATGGAGATTCTAGACTCCGGATAATAAAGATAACTTTCTCATCCTCCCGTATAGCGGCTGCAAATTTGGAAGCATTTCGTGCCAACAAACTTCCGTTGCTAACTGGAGTCCATATGAATCCGCATAGGCAACATGATGCCAGGATCAAGCACAAAGACAAGTCGGAGCTGTCCATTCCACTTGTGGACTGCCTTGATCATAAAAGACGTGTAAGGGACGGGGCCTGCCAACTCGGCAAACCTTATATGGGTAGGCTACCTGTCCATTCACGTAAGGCTCATACAGACAAACTGGATAGGGAAGCTCATGAGTTGTAAATTGAAGGCATAAACTGCTCATACATGAACGCCGCGAGTTTACCGAATAAAATGGATGAGCTACGTGGACTTAGTAGTGCTAATAAGGCTCATCTGACAGGAATATCTGAAATTTTGATATCTCAGTTTACGGAACAGGAGCTAGCATTACCTGGGATATCTTTGTTTCTCAACGACAGAAAACAGGAATTGTGGGTGGAGTAGCCGTATACATACGATCCTGCCTGAAGGTAATCCAAATTCACAACCATGAGTTTAACAATCTTGATGAATCTGCATGGTGCTCAGTAAGACTGTCTACTACCTCGAGGTACCTAGTTGAGGTCATCTATAGAAAGCCCGCTGCTGACAGCTAGTATGACAGTCGTATGGTGGAGAGACTAACCCGCTCTACTTGTCTCGGATTCACTCATATCCTGATTACTGGGGAATTCAATCTCCCTTCGTGGAATAAATGTATATTGGAGATGAATACTCTACGGAAGCTCTGTTCTTCAACCTCATCGAGGATCTGGGATTATACGAAAATGTGAATTCGGCAACTCGTTGGAGAAGCAGTCAGATACCGTCATGCTTAGACTGGGTTAATATAAACGAAGAATTTCTAGTTGACAACCTCTCAATCCTGGCTCCCCTAGGAAAAAGCGATCACGCCGTCATAGCCTCCACTTTTGTCAGCAAAACTGAGCTAAGACATCCACCCAACAACAGGCGCTGGAATCTCAAACGGTTGAGTGTGTCAACTTTACAGGAAAATCTACAACAAGTGTATTGGGATGTTCACCCCCGACATGATGTAGATGCTCATTGGGATTTCTTACTACACACGCTCTTATGTGCTACAAAGCAGTCCGTTCCTCAAACAAGCAACGTAGAATTATCAATAACCGCACTCTTCGCCTGCTAAGCCACAAAAGGCACTGTAGGGCAGAGTACAGACGAACTGATAACAACGGTGCGTACAGGCAATATAAACATATAAGGAACATATGCACGAAGGACATAAGATAATACAGGCTTTAGTACCAGATAAAACGTCTTCCGTTATGCAGCCTCTCCTTGATAAGCCAAAACTAGTTTCCCAACTGCTAGGTCCTAATGGCATGACCAATAACTACGGCGACGCTGCTAACCTTTTGGCTGAACCATACTCTCATGCATTCCAACCAACCCACATCAATTATTCTGGTGACAGCTTCATCTGCAACTGCACAGGACTTTCCAAAGTGAACTTGAACGCTGGATTAGTGATCCAGAAACTGCAGAATCTAAGAAAAAACACTTCTCCTGGCTCAAATATGGTTCATTCTGCTATACTGAAAGAAGCAGCTTCAATCTTGGCAACACCGCTTAGCTTTATGTTCACACAATCGCAAACTACCGGAAATTTAGAAGCTGGCTCACATCACACCAATTTTTAAAGAAGGTCGATGCAGTGAACCTTCTCTCTATACCTTCAAAAATAATGGAGTC